CAATTTGAGCAGAGATTGCACAATTTGAGCAGAGATTGCACAATTTGAGCTTGCATTTGATCTTTGAGGATGTGTTTCATTTATTTGATAGAGATAAGAGATGAATGAAAGGTATTGGAAAACAATCATTTGATAAGTCTGGGGAGGGGGTAAGACAACCAGGTACACAGACATCTTGTCTTGGCAAGTATAAAAATCTCACATTTAGATGGGGATAGTCACCATGCATTGATAAGGAAAACTTGTTTTGTTATCAAAAAACCCTTTGGGAAGGAAGTGTGGGTCAGGCAGATTATCAGGAAAAGTGGAATTGGTTTTATATATGGGAGCAAGCAGTCACCAAGTAGCAAGAGATATTCTAACAGAATTGTCTTCATCATCATCCATATCTTCGTTACCTTCCTTGTCTTCATCAGTGTCCTCAACTTCATCCTTGTCCTCCTCATCGTCCTCAAAATCCTCCTCCTCCTGCCTACACACCGGATCGGGTCCGCCGCCTCGGGTGCAGCTAACGAGGCGCCCTCGTGACCCTGCAAGCGCCTCGCGCGATCCGGGCGTCCAAACGGAACCCGTCATAGTTGCGTGTTGCTGGGCCGCGATTTGGTCGTCTCACCCGGTATGGGTGCGTCTCAGTTATCGCCCACGGAGTCGGAGGACCGCCGCCATCAAAGGCCGGGCGTCATGATGGCGCACCGGCCCTATGGCTCGACAGGTCACACAGCCAGGTTGGGGAGAGCCAAAAAGCTGGTCAATGCCGGGCTCGAACCCGACATTATCTCACACCGCCGAAACCCAAGGGAGCCCACGCCAAACTCATGGGATAGAACACCGATGGAGGAGAGGCAGGATCATGGGTATCTGACTCGCCCCCCAGCCACTTATTCATCCGACTTCGAAAAAAATCTTCCCAAGTCAAGTCAAAAAAAAAAAAAAGAGATTGATTATTTTCTCGAACACCCACCTAAAAAGACATCTTTCCAGGTGGGTGTTGGGAAAGGAAAAAGGTTGACCGATCGAGCAACCAGTGCCGCCTATCGGCGGACTGATGGCGAGCCCGGTCTCGAGTCAGCATAGCGACCCCGGGTGGTTACAATTGCATGTCGCAGTCCGTCTCGGGTGCTGGTATGGCCTGGGTGCGTTGCACCAGGACGGCCTGGGGCGAACCCAGGTCATTACGACCCCAGCTTGCACCCAACGCGTAACTGTTGCATACACTTGGCCGGCAACGCCCCCAGAGGGTGTACAGGCCGCTGCAATCACGCACCCGCCGGTTGCGCAACTAATTTACTGTATTGCGGCATGGGGTCGCCTGTAGTGCTGGTGCGCCTCGCGGGCGAACCAACTTATTCCGATTCGTCCGGGTGTGTAGTAGCTGCGGTTGATGTTGTCGATCAAGGCAGGGGATGAAAAGAGATTGTATGTCGAGAGAGACTGGCGGATCAGCCTTCATTTTTGGAGTTTGGCCGCCGATCGCTATACACTTGCAAAGCTTGTTTGGCCAGCTTGTGCCCCGCTGGCTAGCCGAGCGATCCAGTCAGATTTGAAAAAAAAAACACCCCGGGGACCCACCGAGCTCGACCGCCAAGGCCCGAGACAAAGCGAGATAGGACAACATACTGTAGGATAGCCTAGACGCACATGTTCCATAGACTATACTACAGTATGTATACTATTGACAGGGGTGGAAAAATATGAAATTATATGAGTGTTACATTATTAAACTAGAGAGACTTTTACAACTCAGAGGTGGCTGTGAAACCCTTTTTCTGAATGGAACAGGGGATGACAGAGTTGCAATCTCTCCTCTTGTATACTATAGAATAACAAGACCCACTCTTGAGATTCTAAATGATTATTCAGTTTACTATTTGCAAAATTAACACAATGCATTGATTCAAATAAAATGAAGATGCTGAGAAATAACTCAAGAAGACTTCAGCTGATACTTAGGATTAGCACAATGCCAACTGAGCAAAAGAAATGCTGGAATGTGTATCAGATCTTCCTTCTCCAACTCTTCAGAAAAATATTTCAACATCTTCAATTGAACTTCTCCAAAATAAATGGGCTTGCCATACGACTTGCTGAACCATGGGGCAATGCCCTCAGGAGATTGAGCGCGTCCAATAAGTGGTAGACTTCCTTTTGGTCGAGTGAGCGAGTCGATCAGAAATTTTGATGCAGATTGTCTTCTCTTTTTAATGCATTGAGCAGACAGTTTTCTTTTCAGTTTTGACATGGCCTTGATGTGTAAAATGTCCACAGCTTTCAACATTCTTCTCAGTTTGGGGCGTAAGGTTTGTACATCATATATCTTTCCATTCGGGTCTATCATTCGCAAAGGCTTCGGACCAGGTACATGATCATGGAAGCACATTGATATTGGCAGGGTTGGGTAATAACTCCTGAGGTCTCCTTTGTCTATTTCTGCCGCCCGAAAAGTTTTTTCAAACATCAAAACATATGGTGAAACCAACGCTGAGTGTTCTCTTGCCGTCTTCGAATGCCTATCGTTGTGGGAAATCAGATTTATTTCCAGGTTTTCGGCCATATTTGAAAGGTACTCTAGGATTTCCGGGAAGTTTGGTTTGATTGAAGGTCTATTCGGGTCTTCAGGAAATGATCCTGAGAGTTGCCGTAATGCCAGATACTTTTCTGAGTAGCAATGGATCGAAGAAAAATGTGGTTAGTATCTAGCCATTTTTTAGGTAATTTACCTTGCATTCAAGCTGTTGGTTACCGGCACAGTTACTCACTCGCATGTTTAGCTCGGTACTGTTCTAGGATAACTGACGTGGAGATGTTTGGATCACTGCGCTCATCAGAAAAGTATCTGATCAATTCTTCCTGAATGGCCCCATATTTTTGCAGATCGGGACCACCTGACTCCCAAGTTAAGTCGGGTCCAGGGGCGATTCCAAGCACAGGATGACTATCTTTGGGGGTAAAGATTTCTTTTTCCAGCCATTCAAACAATTTTTCTTGTAGATTTCTGTGATGTAATACTGGAATGTTGATTTGCGTTAAAAACTCGCCATGGAGCTTGTAAAGTGATACCGCCAAAAACTTGTAAAGCATATATAGGCGCGGACCCGTCTGTGTGTAAGAGAAGTCATGTTGCAGGACTTTTGCTAGCTTATATCGGTCCCTGACCGCAACATCGATCCGTGCGCTAGACAAGGTGGGGTGTGGGTCGACTAAACCCCAGTGGCGGGACCGACAATCTTCTGACGTGACTTTAGATTGAAAGCTTTTGCCGAATTTATTGAGAAGTTCTTCGACAATGGCACCACGTGTGATCAAATGGGGAAAATCTAGTTCGTCCCAATGCTTCTTCTCGACGACTGGTAAACCTGGCAGCTGATCGCTATCCGAAAAATCATTATCCGGGTGATCCATTGACTTGGAGCCACCGCCGGAGGAGGACTGACCGGCTGTGGGGAGAGGGGGAGTGAGAGCTAATTCAGCCCATAGAATCTTAACCCTTCCTTGAACTTGCCTGTCGGCTTTGCTAATTACCTTGATTAGGGTGACTGCCCGCGATGGATTGGCTTATTCCGCTTCCAATATTCACCGAGTCAACTGCGGTAGTTGGTTCTTGTACGCCGGAGTGGCCAATGTCGACTTCATGTTCGGCTCTCAACCTTGCAGTGATGGAACCTGTGCAGAAGCCGGTCTCAGGAACAATTCTTGCCCGGTTTGAAGGTCTGTAACATCTTACCCGAGTTGGAGGGGCCACCCTGATCATCCGATCGGCACACACGGCTTGTCGGGGGACTGAGGCTCGGAAGTTGGACTGGATGCTCCTTGCGCTTGCCTCGAGATATTTCGGCTGCCACGCCTGGAAAGGCTTCATCAAGATCCTCTTCTGGAAGCTGGTTCAAGTCAAACATCCGGCATGATATCAAAGCCAATATGAAACACCATGCAGCAATGTAAAATCGGTAGGAACGACTTCTGGTAAGGGTAGCAACAGGAACCATCATGAGAGTAGTACGATTCTAAAGGGGCGAGTATGAGTCAAGAGAGGCGAACCGTCGTCGATTGCACACAAATATCCAGGCTGGCCGCTGGCCCTAATCACAATCACATCGATTCCACAGGAAGAAGCTTCAATGCCCAAGCCTAGCCAGCTGCAGCTTGAAACCAAAATCAACAAACCTTGAGGCTTGTCTCAAAGTATCCGAAACTTGCTCACCCCTGAAGACTGAGATCTGGCTATCCATCAATGTGAGTCTCGACCCCCAGAGGCTGTTTTGGGTTTGATCAGTGTTTTTCAATTTCTAAAATTCCAAGGGGTTTTCTCGGGGGTCTGACTGTGACATATGTACATGCCAGAGAATAAAAAATCAGACTTCCATTTCCAAGAGTGCTATTGTCTAAATAGCCAAATCCACAATCTTGAAACAAAGCCTCTTGTGCCTATAGGCTCTAAAGAAGGACAGAAGTAGTTGTACCAATCAAATTCCAGAAGATACTCAAATCAAGTCCAACCTCTGACTCCATGCAAGACCCTTCAGCCAAAGTCTTTAGAACCAAGCCACAGCCCAAGTAAAACAACCTGATAAAGATTTGCTAATAATGACAAACTCATAATAATACCTCATGATGACAAACCAATCCCAATTGTGGATGATAATGTTATGGAAGATTATTTGAGCAATCTAGATGGTCAAGTTCTTTTAGAAAGCCACAAGGAAGAAGTACAGCTAGTAATTGAGACCCAGTAGATTATTGAATGGTAGAGCTGAGGAGGTGATTGAAACAATGAAATTGGAAAAAATCCAGTCTCTGCTTTGGGAAATATATGTATTTCTCCAATGAAATCATAAACTCAAATCAGGAAACAAGAGATGCTATACTTGTCCCAAAGCCTCTTACAACAACAAAGCTCAACTACCAGAAGAAAGACAAAGATGATCCATGGCAGATTTCCTTAAATATGAAAATTTTAATAGGAGAAGAACTTGATTGTAGTTACCAGTCCCACTATAGCTCCTCAGCCCATCAAAAATGAAGAATTGAAAACCTATCAAGACTCAACTAGAGCAAAAATGAGTGTTGATAATTACCTGAAAAATAAAGATTGGCTCAAGATTGATGGAGTAGCAAATTTTGAAATGGAATACAATGATTAAATATATTGCACACCAGAAATTGGGATCAACAAACTTCAAGAATTTAACATTCTAGTGTTTGAAAATTGCATCAATTAGGGAGTGCAAATATTGTGGTTAATGTGCATGGCACATCTAACCTCAGCAAAAATGTGTCCCTTGTCTTCAAACAGATACAGAGTACAAAAGTGGGAAAGTGTGGAAAACATATATCTACTCTAGTGGAGGATGCAAATGTATTTGAAGCTGAACCTGCTCAGCAACTCAACCCCCCAGTTCAGTTACTTCTCTCCCTACAATTCCATCCATCCCAATCTGTTACTTGCAGAGTTTTCTTAGGTTACTCCAAGAATGTTATTACCATAAAGCATGTTTTGGATGGGCAAGATGAGAAGGAGCATTGAGAGTTATGGAGTTTACAGCTCTACTGCAATTGATATTGGAAACCAGGCATTTGGAGTCTTTCAAATTCCACCCAGAAGTGTTGTTGGAGAGCACCCAATGATGAAGTGTGTGCAAGGTTGACAGGCATTCCCCTTTACAATTTGGACATCATGAAGAATCATAGTTTCTGTTGTTGTCATGGGAGACTGAAGACAACGAAGATTTGGATGCCAATGAAACTTCCAGGCAGCCAGATAGGAAACTTTAACCTCAACCAACTCACTCGAACACGAACACGATGCGCTACTCATCCCCAGTCCCACTCCAACCAGTACAAGACCAGCAGTACAAGGACAACGATCAGACAGAAGACAGACGAGACGAAGATCAGGATGAGGAAGATGAACGACTGGACGAACTGGACGAGCTCGACAAACTCCACACGACCTCCAACTCATTCCTACCGCTCTCTCGCCAGCCAGCCTCGCCCTCAGCCCAATATGACCCCAAGCACTCAGACTATCAGGACTATCGATCAACCAAAGAACCCCTCAGCCTCCATCCAATCCAGCTCGAAGGCGGCCAGGAGGAAGCCTTAATAACACCGCAGCCACATCGCACTCACTCCTTACAGTACAAACCACCTGCACACACCAAACGGGTCCTCTTCTTTGGCACCTCTGCCTTGATCGGACTGGCCTACATGATCGTCTTCTTCGCCACCCAAGGCACCCGCTACGGTTCGTGAACCAAATATGTCTCACCAATACCCGTGATCCAATTATAAACTAGAACTCATACTTCTTGGCGCTCCGTTTTCGATATCTTAGGCCATTCGCTCAAGATCAATGTGATCCTCATGATCTCAGATGGGTTCGGACCGGCCTCTGAAGGCTTCGCCCGGGGCTTCGTCCAACATCTGCAGAACCTCACCCTCGAACAACAGGCCCAATACGCCCGTTGGACGTTCCCCGAAACTAAGACTTCCTTTCAACCCCCTCTCAAACGACCCGACGGGCCTTCCAAAAATCGGTTTGGGCCTCTGCCCTTGGATCCTCTCCTCGTTGGCAGTTCTAGAGTCAGCTTCAACCAATTTTGTATGCATTATCGCATTGATTAATTTAGTTTTACCCATCTATAGACAAGAAGTAGTAATTCCTTGATAACCGATTCGGCTGCTGGAGCTACCGCATTTTCATGTGCTTTGAAAACATATAATGGTCTGTACTTTTGAACTTTTGGCATACTAACTTTGAAGGATTTGTCCACACATACATTTTTACCCTTTTCGGGGGAAACAACTGATTATTGCTGTTGGTTGTTTGATCAAGGTGCGATTGCTGTTGAACCTGTGGACCAGAAACCCTGTGGGACGGTTCTGGAAGCTGCCAAACATCGAGGTTATTTGACTGGATTGGTGGCCACGTCGGTGGGTTTACCAAGTATCATGACATGACCGATCGGGTGGGTGGAAGAGTTGAACCTATGCCCCGGATTATCTTTCTCCTCTGTAGCGAATCACGCATGCGACGCCAGCCTCATTCTATGCACACGTGATAGACCGGGATATGGAGAGCCAGATAGCGACGTTTCTGACGGGCGAAGGGCCTCTAGGACGCAGCGTCGACCTAGCCTTCGGAGGCGGCCGCCGATTCTTCCTGCCCAGCTCGAGCCTCACCTCGTCTCGGGGAGACGATAACGATCTCCTGGAGACCGCCCAATCTAAGCATGGCTTCACGATCATCAACTCGACCGAGGCCTTCGAGAAGGCCTGGAACCCTAGCTCCCGTAAGGGACACTTCAAGACCCCCGTGCTCGGACTCTTTAACGATAATCACATGAACTATGAGATCGATCGGATCAGCTTGGAAGGGACTGACAAGCGAGAACCTTCGCTTAGGAATATGTACGTTGAAGACCTTTTTATTGTTGTCTGTTCAACTGCGAATCCTGTTGTTCATTACGATTATCTTATAGGTCTTTGGCCGCACTACAGACCCTGTCAAGGGAAGCCAAGGACAAGTCCGCCCATGGTTTTTTCTTAATGATCGAAGGATCTCGGATTGGTGAGTCCTGCCTTTCATAGAAAGAACGTATGATTTGCGGGACATCAATGAATATGATTGTCCATAACTTTTTTTTTGTGTGCAGACATGGCTGCACATTCAAACGATCCGGTAGGCCATCTGTACGATATTTTGGCCTATCAGGAAACCGTTAGGACAGTTCAAAGCTGGGTTGATGGTGAGTTAAAAAAGACTTTTTTTCCGGAGCGAGGAAGTGATCAAAAAAGTGATATGAATTTTTTGAATGAATAGAGGCGAACAAAGCCGGCTGGCCAACGTTAATGATCTCAGTGTCGGACCACGAAACGGGTGGACTAGCGTTAGGTCGCCAGTTGACGGAGAAGTATCCGGTGTATGCATGGTATCCGGAAGTCTTGGCCAACGCGAGCCACTCGACCGCCTGGCTGGCAAAGAAGATCTCGCTCTCTCACCAGCCCTCTCAGCCGATCTCCCGGCAATTCATCGTCGACGAAGTCCTCAAGGACGGTCTGGGAATCATCGACGCCTCGGATGAGGAGATCGACAAATTGGTCTCCTTGGGTGGCCGCCAGAACGTAGATTATCTCTTGGCTGATATGGTAGATATACTTTCTTGATCCTGTCCTCGTCTTTTTCTTGCTTGCTTGGATCATTCACTTTTCTTTTCCCCTTGAACAACGTTCAATCTTCCCATTCATAGATTTCCCGGAGAGCTCAAGTCGGGTGGTCTACTCATGGTCATTCGGGTGTCGACGTAAATCTATACAGTTATCCCCCCGATCTCACCAAAGAACTCTTCGGGAATCGTGAAAATACTGAGGTTAGCTTTCTCCTCTGTCTTGATTTGTTAATTTTTGGCTTGTGGTTTCAGATGATCTCACAAGTTTGGTATTTCTTTCTATCTTTATTTTTTGTAGATCGGACAGTTCATTGTGGATGCAATGGAAATCGATCTTGATATTGTTACTCGTGACCTGAATCGGTAACTAGTTTTCAAACATCTTGCTCTGTAGAATCAACCCGTGTGATTAATATCTTTTTTTTTTCTGGGGGGCGGGGGGATTGTTCTTCGTAGGTTGGCTAAGTCTTGGCATGTCACTGATGAGAAGCATAATCCCAACTTTCAAAATATCCAATTAAAGCATTATTCAGTAAGTACTGTTGTCTGTTTTTCCTTCATAATCACCTACATTTGCTGATTTTGTCTGTCCTTTTTTGATCAATCAAGCATGAGTTTTGAGTCCATCTCGTTATTTATTTAGACAGATTAATAAACCATGTTTTTTTTTTCTCTCTGAGTTTGCATAATTATCTGTTTCTCTCAGTATTTTCCCTCAGTCCAGCATACAAGCACTCGTTGAATTTGTCTGTTTGTATTCCTTTCGATATCTTAGAATCAATCTTTTTTTTTCCATGTATCTGTAAATCCTTCATCTGGACTTTTTTCTTTCTTCCTCCTCTAGTTATCTTTCAAGACCTCCCTTTATTTTGTTACATACGCAGCAATAATTTTATCTCACTCTTCTTCTCTGTTTCGCTTCTTGTCAGTACTTTCTTCTCGTTTGCTGTCTTTGCTACCAGTAATCAACTCTTGGTCTTTGAAGATTCAACTTGTCTGACGGAGGGAGGGGGGGGGGGTCTTTTACTCTTATTAGCGATTTTTTTTTTTTTTTTTGAATTGACATGTCGAACCTGATCATTCACAATTCAATTCAAAAAATGCCAATATCATGTGGCTGATCATTGGAGGCCTTCCTGTTGTCGCCTATTCACATGAAAGGCTCTATTTTGGAGTCGGTCCTGCCTGCACCTTATTTGCTGGTGAAAACTTCATGGGCGTGTTTGTTTGAGTAACCGGCAAACAACATTGAGGATGTTATTTTAAATCGTCCGGCTACATAGTTCGGACCATGGGACCTTGCAGCAGATGTGGATTCACATCCCACACAAGTCTAGGTCTTTGCAAGGAAATCTACCAAGTAAGTAAGGCTCTAAATAAATTTTGCAAGGCACCCAGATGTTGATGGGAAGTCATTGATCAACACTTAAAAAACTTTGGTTCACAAGTTACATGGTGATCCCTTCCCCCACTCATGTTGATGGGCAGCTTTTATCTTGCAGATGCTTTGCATGGATGGATGGGTTGAAATTGAGCCCTGGGTGCTCTTTTTTCCCCTGTGTTTTTGGATCCTGGGGCAATTTGACCAGACACAGCCAAATATAATTTCGAGTGCCACTTTGATGGCCGGTTTTATTAGTGCAATGGATTGGATGTTGCATTGAATTTTAGTGGATACATATTGTTTGCCTCATACGCCACGAAGCCGTCCACCCCTTCACGGATATTCCTTGACTACATATGTATCTTTCCTATGATACGCCCGACACACCAGGGTGTCCCAGGCTCCAGCAAAGATTTATGCGTGTTACATATCCATCAGTGACAGTGCAAGCCTTGCCATACTTGATGCGCGTTGCTCACCATCTGTGTATTTTAGTCTTCTGGATGTGTATGTATAGCGTTGCTTTGCATGTTTATCGGTGAAGCCTTGTCCAGCATCCACACGGAGCTCACAACGACCAATACTCATCGGCGCTAGGAAATCACGTCTGCTCCAGATGGCTTGTTTCATCACTTTGTGATGAAAGATGATCAAAGATGGCCGTGGAAGAGCCAAAGTTCCTCCAAGCCTCTGTCATTTGTCCTCTTCTTCTATATACTCAGAGGTTGATCTGGATGCGGGAGGGTAACGATTCGTCTCTTTACGTCTTTCTTTAAACCCACTTGCAAAACCACGTTAGAGTTTAGAATCATTCATTCTTTCTTTGAGCTCTCAAAACTGATATAGCAGTCATACCAACTGTTCTTTTGAGTCGACTATTCTGTTCACATACTAAGGTCTTCTGTCATTCTTATCAACCTTATATTGCCCTAAAAAGGCGCGTTCCGGACATCTCATCGCGATGTTTGTGATCACGATTCAGTACTCCTTTTATTTTATCCACCTTGTCATAGCGGTGATATGTCTATTTCTGGATCCAGTACGCACTGGAGCCAATGCCCAGAGCCATAATCCTCCTGAAGTCGTAGGCCCTTTTGGTGCGAGAAGCAGAACGGATGCCGGACCACCTCGTTGGTCGCGTATAGTTAAGGGGCACACCGGTGTTGCAGCTATGCAGATCACCGTTGTGAGCGATAAATATGCTTTGATTCTTGATAAAGTAAGTTGATATTGTTTACTTTGATTGTCCCGTCGACGTGCCTTGGCTCTTAATTTCACTAACATATTGATTGATTTTTTTGCGAACAGGTCGAACATAATCCCCTCAAGATCAACGGCCATCGAGCTTGGGCAGCGCTCTACAACTTCGAGACCGATGAGGTCACGCCCTTGGACCTGAAATCTAACTCATTTTGCGCTGGCGGAAGCTTCCTGGGTAACGGCACTCTGATCAAGTAAGAGACCACAAGAAACCAACCGGGCATTCGTGTTGCCGTGTAATGATCTGATTTGGCTTTTCATCAAAGCTTTGGGGGCAACCCAGTAGGCAAAGCTCCGTTAAGAACAGGAAACTTTGGACCTACCGACGGCTTACAATCGATTCGGTTTTACACACCATGTGATGATGGAAAATGCTCGGTCGCCGAATTCGATTCTATCAAGTTGACAAGTCCCCGTTGGTATGCGACAGCAACACGCCTGGCAGATGGCAGCATTATGATCGCCGGGGGAAGCAAGAGAGGCGCTTTCAGGTGATTCAAAACCAACTTGTCATGTTTTTTGTTAACTTGATGCTCATCACTTGTCATGGTACACACAGAAATAATGCGGCGATCAACAACCCGACAATTGAATATTTCCCACCCAGACAGCTGAATTTTCCGACTAATTCGGGGAAAAAACAGATCTACTCACCTTTCTTGGAAAGAACTCTAGTGGCCAATTTGTTTCCAATCGTTATTACTCTTCCCGAGCCTGGCCTAGTCTTCTTGGCAGCCAATAGAGACGCGATCATCTACAACTATACGTCAAACTATGAGTTTCGACTTCCACGGATTCCAAATGGTGTCAGGGTCACTTATCCCATGACGGGTGGTGGCATTCTTCTCCCATTATCCCCTCAGAACGGCTACAAACCCGAGGTCTTGATCTGTGGAGGAAGTGATCTGGATGATACATTAGAAACTAGGTTAATCAAGGCATCTGCTCCTGCCTCCACTCAATGCGTTCGTATGGTCCTTACAAAGTCGGGAATAAAGAAGGGCTGGATAGTAGAGCACATGCCTGAGGGAAGAATTATGCCGGATATGATCATGATGCCGGATGGAAAGGTTTTAATTGTGAACGGAGCCAAATCTGTAAGTTTTAAAGACCCATCATCTCGTACATCTCTCTCTACCAGCTTTGTATCTCGGTTTCACATACGTTCGTCTGAATTTTGTTTTTATACGTTCAAAAAAAAAATTCTGATAGGGTGTAGGAGGTTATGGAAGTCTCGAAAAGATGACCGGAAACTCAAATGCGGACAATCCAAGCTTCACGCCCGTGTTATATGATCCTGACGCTCCATTAGGTCAAAGGTTTAGCTCCGAGGGACTTCCGACCACGAACATCGCGAGACTTTACCATTCTGTTGCCACTTTAACACCTAGTGGTCTAGTGATGCTTGCTGGAAGCAATCCGAATCCAGACGTCAGCACAGCCAACTATCGAACGGAATACAGGGTTGAATGGTTGAGTCCTCCCTATATCAAACACCCCAATCGTCCTAAAATTTCGAGCCTTCCGAAGCTTGCAAACTACAAAGAGAAGATCATAGTTAAACTTGTTGGAATGGACCTCAAGCTAGCAGAGCAGAAGGTTGAAGCAGTCTTATTGGATTTTGGATTCGGTAATTATGAGCCCCCTCCCCCTTTAAGGTTGATCATGGCCTGGCATTCAAACTCACGCATATATATTCATCCCATTCTCTGAACAAAATAGTAACACATTCCACGCACATGAACTCTCGCTTGGTCAAATTAATCACAAGTGTTGATTCTGACGACAACGAATTGCAAGTCGTAATGCCACCTCTGCCAGGAATTTATCCACCTGGATACGGGTGGCTTTTTGTCGTAATCAACGGAATCCCCAGCCCCGGAAAAAGAATCATGATCGGTTCTGGGAAGCTGGATTTTGAGGACGCGCGATAAGGAGAACGAACCCACATCCAATACCGAAAACGTGGATCAAAAACGTTATCGACGTGTACTAAAATCGTGAACCACGATCAAACAGACATTCCCTGTTCAAACTTTCGTACTTGATCGCACCTCTTCCTATCATGCCCCAAGCCTTCTTGATTTTCCGTAAAAATTAGTTTTAGTGCCATCCTTCTTTTCAGTTTACCATTCCATAGCAAATGTCTTTGTGCAGCACTCTTCCTTTCAGGAAATTACATACCCATACTTCAGAAATATGTACAACCCTACACTCTCATTGAAAGCAATCAATTCACATAAAAATTGTTCAGCTTACTTCATATCTAATAAACTCATCGACATTGTCTCATAACAAGGATATACAAATGGTTGGAGAATGATCTACGTATGTGTTTGATTTTAAGTAGACTCTCTTGATCTAAAATTAACTCTCATCAAGCTGCTTGAAATTTGAACATGGAATAGGAGAAATCTTGCAGAGTGACTCACTTTTCTAGCTTCTTATCACTTATATTGACATCAACTACTTCCTTACAAAAACAAGTGTAAAAATTAATAGGCTAGAAGAGTTAATCCTCTTCAGCCAACATGGAGCATAATCAAGGCAGAAATTTGGAGTGTTAATCATGGGTTTGGGATGACTCTCATCTTCTTGAAAGTTTGTATCTTCATCTTTCTTTCCCACAGAGTTCAGGTTGGCTTTGTTACTGCACTGTTAGGGTTGTGCTTTTCACATTTTTAAAATTTGCGCTGCATAAGTTAGACTCTTTCATCTTCAAATTGAGTTTTTACTTTCAAATTCAATTTTTATTCAAAAGATTATACTGATTAGAGGACCTCCCACCACCATGTACATACATGTTGATAGATACTCCTCTAAATTTTAAATTAACACACTTGTCTAAAATGAAATCAACATAGCATTCATGAATATCAGGTTTAGGAAAAGATGCCTCTTTCCACAAAAAATTAAGCTTCAGGGTGTATGAATGTTCTTCTGCACAATAAACTAATAACATTGATCAACCATCCATCTCAAGTCAACCCTTGAATGGATCATTTTTTGTGCTTCTACACTTCCTGGGGGGATGTCTCCATGGGATGACAAAGAGAGGTGTGAATTAAATAGTCCATGAACATTGAATCACAGCTCAAGTTTTGAGAAGAAACTTACCATTGCCATTTTCAGGTGTGTAGATGCTGCTGTAAATCTCAAATGAGCACATCTATCAAAAACACAGCCAGAACACATGAAAATCACCAACATAAGATTAATGTCTTCTGTCAATAATGGGCTGCGATGCTACACTGTGTTTTTTGCCCAAAAAGTGTGAGTCTAGCCGTTCTCTTTGTGCCACAAATTCTGTAGTTTTAGCCATTTTTTAGCAGATTTTTTGCTACAGGTTGCTAACAATACTACAGGGCCAAATTTCTGCTGCTAACCAGCACATTAGCAATGCGTAGGGCACATTTTGGGGTCCTGTGCGCATTAGTGCGGACATGGCAGAATTCTGATGCACTACAGTTGTGGATGGCAAAAACCAACCCTGGATTGTATGTGTCACTTAAAGCCATAACTATGGGTTTAAGTATGGCTTAATAATCATATGTATGTGGAAATGAAAAAAAAATTGAACCACTCACTCAAGACCTTAGTGTTTATAATTTTGAACTCTACACATCTGTAGTGGTTCAAAATTGTAACATAATTAAGTGTCAGGGCACATGCCCCCGGGGCATAGGCCCCTCGTGTCCAATTTGGATTTTGCGGGCGGGGCATGGTTGGTCTATGCCATACGCAACTGTACACTAAGCTTCAGCAGATGCTGTTATGTCATGCCACACTAAAGCTACTGTTAGCATAACTGGCCTGCCACAGCCACCTCCTGCCACTGCTTCTGTTTACATCATTACCTTTGTTTGTTTCTTTTCTGACCTTTTTGATTCCAGTTCTGTTTTTTTTTGTCAAGCAATCAATATGATGTTCCACAATCCCTGGCGAGAGAAATGTTATTGTTCCACTTAGATTATGATATAGGAGAAGTTGGTTATGCAGATGCAAGACCTTTCGATGAGACTGATATCCAGAGAAGAACCGTACCCCCAATTTTCTACCTGAAGAGATGGATGGTACATAGTCACTGTAGCAACAAGACCAGGTAAATTCACATTGCAAACACAAGCATCCATTTCCACCAGCCAGCCCACACCCAAATAGATTAGAACCATCTCTAGCTCACAACAACTTTCCTGCCCAAAAATTTACGTCCAACACTAAAAACCTATCTCAAATACATAGCGCGCAGGTACAGTCATAGTTTCTGCGCTCCACTGACCTAAAACTGGTGCACCGTCCATTTTTGCGCGCGCCAAGCTAGGGAACTTGAGATGCCAGCGTAATTATTTTTTCTTACAATAATTTGGAACCTGATTCCCCCTACTCCCTGCCCCCACCTGATAACTCGTCCATCTGTGATCCGCTCTAGTGGTTCTCCACATCGTTGTTGTCCCACCCACAGCCACTGGAATGGCACGGGCAAAATTTCTCACTCAAAATTTTGGATCTGCGACCTACAAAACCTTTTCCATGCTTATCAGCGCTTTTAGTTCAAGAACATCCGGCACGCAAGTCAATCAGACGAAGTTATAGAATAGAAATGCATTTCAACGTGGAACTGAGAGTAATGCTCAACACGGTTGCATATATTTTATCCAAGGAGAGCTTCCGATGCACACATGTGCAATTTGTGATCCTTTTTTTGCCCTTCTTGTCGGAATCATTCATGGTTGATCGCGAGGTCATATTTGGATCGAAGAACATTCAGAAATTTCGGGTCAACGCGGGAACCAAAAACCATCACTAGGAAGAACATTCTGATGGGTTCGTAGGCTGCAGTTATCACCAGAAAGATAGACAATCGAAGATACTCGAATCAGTCATCGCACTTCCGAAAAGTTCACTCCAAAGGAATTTTACTTACGTTCTGATTGATGCAGCACACCGCATTTTCGTTTTCTCCGCAGGTGTATCCGGTTTTTTGCTTGAATTCGGGTACGGCCTGAGCAGGGTGGTCTGACAGAATTTTTTTAAAGGAAGATATTTCGATCAGATTGCATATCCCATCTTCAGGAGGTTGCGGGACAAATGGTCTAAGAACCTACAAGTCAATTGTAGGTCTTGCGTAACGGAACACATCGCGAATTTAGCGTCTTGCAATCCATATTGCGGTGTCGCCACTTTCTTTCCGTCGCAATAAATCACCTCTGAAGAAACCATACTGGTGCCAAGAGAAAGCATGGCTATCAAAGCGCTAAGAATAAGTTGTGAGAACATGATGAGAGTTTGATGACTATCTATTGATAATTGTAATTCTTGGCTCCTGGTTTACGAGGTTCAAGGGGGGAATTCTGAGGTTGATGGGGAAAGGCTCTGGTTGGACGTGCCGATTAACTGCCCTTTATAACTTCACTACAAAGCAAGCACAAAGTTGTTTTTGCAGGCTTCGCGGCTTGATTTCTTCCACGCGCAACTATTACGCGCCATAAGCCACCCCATGAAGCCACCGCAAGAATCTTCCTGATATGTATCGTCCAAGGAAAGCAAGGAACTCGATCTAGATTCTTTCCATTGGTTTCCACGTTGTACTTCTTACATAAATGCCCACATGTACGAACTTGTTGTACACATTTATTATGTGCAAAGAGCTCAGCACAAGCTAGTCTCTGTCTGAGTTGTGCACTGTTTCTGGCGTCGGAGCCGTCGCAATCGCCGACTGAAAGTGAACATTGACCACCTTTTACAGCTGTTCCCAAAAACCTTGCGGTTTCGGGAGCGCTGTATTTCAGAAGAAATTTTTTTTGCGCCTCTCTTTTTAGCGCCACTCTCTCCTGTACGTGGCCCTGTATGCTCCTGTATGGCCACAGTACTGCAGGCAGAGTACCCAACTCCCTCATTTTTCGAGTTGAGGGTATGGGAGTTGGATCATCGTGATCCTCTCGATTTTTTGGTTCGGAGCCGGTCATCAGGTAGTGGCTTACTCTCCCCTGCCTGGCAGCTGGCAGGCATCCGGACTCACACCAGGGTCTTCGGCAGCCAAATCACAACCTGTACCGTCCTCTGTACAGGTTTTTGAGGCGTCAAAAGTTGGTGGCGCTAAAAAATTTCTTCGAAAATACAGCGCTCCCGAAACCGCAAGGTTTTTGGGAACAGCTGTAGCATGTGCCGTCATGACGATGGGATGGTTTTGAGCGTTACAGCAACACTCGGCGAGCAGTACGTTCTCCACCATTTGGGCAGTGGGCACTGACCAATCCGCGGAGACCCAAAGGGCCAAGAGCCTCTATGTATGTAGGCCCCGGGGCCCGGGCCCCCCTTGTGCGGCATGGGCAGTGCGACGTCGGCAGTCACTGTATGGTTGTATGCCGGCTCGACATTCGCCGGGAACCACCTCAATCAGCCTTTGGATCAAATTCTCCTGCAAGATGATCTTCACGATCGATGATTTGGAAGTCAGTCACAACTGTCTATTGCCGCTCCGAAATTTCGTGCTCATGAGCCTTTGCGTTTCATTCTAACCAGATACTTTTTCCATACGACAAGATTTATCCCGGTAAGTGTTCAGTTCTTAGCCCATGATTGAATATAGTTCCATTCTGATGCAAAACCTTTTTTTTTTTGGGTGGCGGTTGCAATCACAGAACAATATGCCTATGTACGCGCCAGAATTCTCATGCTCCGAGCGGCAAGCAAGGGTCAACTAACTGATCAAGGGCGTGGAGGCAGATGTGTGATCTGAAGCGAACGCTGGACCTGGGAGGCCATTGCGTGTTGGAGATGCCATCCGGGACGGGAAAGACGATCTCACTGCTCTCGCTGATCGTCGCCTATCAACTGTATTACCCCGAACGACGCAAGTTGGTATATTGCTCGCGAACGGTGCCGGAGATCGAGAAGGCGCTGATCGAGCTCAAACGACTCATGGCCTATCGTGCCGCCCAACATCGTCTTCGCGCCGGTCTCACCGACAATTCTGCTCCCACTAATGAAGACGATTTTTTAGGCGTCGGTCTCACGAGTCGAAAGAACCTATGCATACATCCTCAGGTGAGCCACCGATCAAATTTACAGCTAGCTATTGTGTTTGATTTCTCCCATTCATCTCCTGTTAACACTCATCGAAAAGGCACATGCCCAATCACACCAATGCCTACTTCTCATTAACTCCTTAGGTCTCTCGTGAAAAAAAGGGCAAAGTGGTCGATGCGCGTTGTCGTGATTTAACTTCTGCATGGGCATGTGAAAAAGGACGAGCTGATCCAGGCAGTGTGCCCTTGTGCGATTTTCATGAAGTAAGTAGTAAAAAATCTGTATATATATTCATGTTGGTAGACCAACTTCTCTATCTTTTGTCCCTAAACTCTTGCCAGAAACTCGGAGAACTTGAGCCTGGGAATCTTATCCCGCGAGGAGTTTGGACACTAGAGGAAATCACAGCTTATGGTCATCAACACGGCATATGTCCTTATTTTGCAGTCCGTCGAATGGTATGTTGAAGAATTGACTAGACCCGGTTATGTATCTGATTCTCATGGTTGATGAAGTTGTGAGTTTATCAAGCTTGCCCATGCAGACATTATCATCTACTCCTTCCATTACTTGTTGGACCCCAAGGTGGCCACGCAAGTCTCCAAAGAGCTTCTACCGAACTCGATCGTCGTCTTCGACGAGGCCCACAACATCGATAACGTCTGCATCGAGTCTCTTTCCATCGATCTCACCAAGGGCATGCTCGATAATGCGGGGAAAAGTATTGGTGCTTTGGACGAGAAGATCCGCGAGATCAAGCGGACTGATGCTAGCAAGTTACAGAATGAGTACGAACGCTTGGTCAGAGGGCTCGGCCAGTCTGAGAACACATTCGAATCGGAAGAAGAGGCTGCCATTCTTGGAAATCCAGGTATGATAACTTGACTGCTCCAATTACTCATCTCTGTGACGTATAACTTGACGCCCTTCGCTTTTGGCCACCAGTCCTCCCAGAAGATCTGCTACAAGAGGCCGTGCCTGGAAATATTCGACGAGCGGAACATTTTACTGCCTTTCTTACTCGGTTTGTGGAGTACCTCAAGGTAAGCTTCCCAGCTTAAGCGGAGCTCTTTGGCACACAAGACTAGTTGCATACGTCTAAGTCGACCTATACTCCGCGCTAACCTAAATTTGTGTGGAGGACAGACAAGGATGCGAGTGTTACACGTGGTTGCCGAAACTCCACCGTCGTTTCTCCAGCATGTTAAAGATCTAACATATATCGACCGGAAGCCGCTGAGGTTCTGTGCCGATCGACTTACTAGTCTGATCCGGACGCTTGAGTTAACCGACTTAGATCAGTACAACGCCCTCCAAAAGGTGGCCAGTTTCGCGACGCTTGTGGCCACATACGAAAAAGGTAAGATTTCAGGGCCAGTGTGCGGTTGAGTAAAACGCTTAAATTGTTCATTTGATCAACCCTTTGCTTCAGGATTTCTATTAATCTTGGAACCCTTCGAAACTGAAAATGCGACAGTACCCAATCCAGTCTTTCATTCTGACGTAGTCTTTTGTAGTAGAATAAATGCTCTTCATTGAGGCCCAAACAAGTTGAGAATTTTTCCCGACATTCTGAAATCATTCACAGGGGTTTAGATGTTTTGTTGGGGACCAACCCGTTCTTTGAGGGGTTTAGCAGTGTGATCATCCCTTGGGGTCCCATCAGTCCGCGGGAGATGTATCCCAAAATGCTGGGTTTTGGGGCTACTGTCCGGGATTCCTACTCAATGACTCTCCCCAGGAACTTTTTCCTCCCTTTGGGGATTACGAGGGGAAGTGATCAGGGGGGGATTTTTTGGGGGTTTGAATTCCAAAATGGTATCCCTTCCTTTTTGAAGTACTTGTCCCCCCCCCCCCCCCCCCCAGAACAGGTTGATTAATCTTGATTACTTTTTTCAATTTAATTAGACCCATCTGTGGTTCGAAACTTTGGGACAATCCTGATCGAGTACTGCAAGATCGTCCCTGATGGGATCGTGGCCTTTTTCCCCTCCTACCTTTACATGGAGTCAATTGTGGCTGCATGGCATGACATGGTGAGTTTATCTAGGCGACTGAACTCAGGTAATTAAGTGCAAGGCAGAATTTCTAAGCCAGATCTTGGTGTTTATAATCACTTACAGGGCATCCTGAAGGAAGTTTGGAAGTACAAGCTGATATTTGTGGAAACGCCAGACGCGGTTGAAACAAGTATCGCCTTGGAAAACTATCGGCGGGCGTGTGATAATGGCAAGGGGGCAGTCCTTCTCTCCGTCGCGCGAGGTAAAGTCTCCGAAGGGATCGATTTCGATCATAACGTATGTCAAGTTTCCTTAGCAGAGTCGGCTTGAAGCGACAAGTCATGAAAGGCAAACTGACCTCCGCGGTTCTTGTTGTGTGATAGTATGGGCGAGCAGTCATCATGTTTGGGATTCCCTATCAATACACCGAGAGTCGAATCTTGAAGGCCCGTTTGGAATTCCTCCGGGATAACTACCGAAGTGAGAGAGGAGCCTGCTGAAAGTGACTATACTTGTAACCTTTGCTTATCAAGATAATTACCTTCTCCACTCGATCAAAGTTCGGGAAAACGACTACTTGACATTCGATGCGATGAGACATGCTGCTCAATGTGTCGGAAGAGTCTTGAGAGGGAAGACAGATTATGGATTGATGGTATTTGCTGACAAGGTATGTGAGCTGGACATCATTCAGGCACTCTCGATGAGAGTAATTTGATTGCGTATACTGATCAAGATCCCTTTTGTTGTGGGTTCATACACTGTAGCGGTTTGCGAGAGCTGATAAACGAGCTCAAGCTGCCGAAATGGATCAACTCGTACATTACGGATACGGCGTCTAATCTATGTGAGTGATTGTTACTCGACCAGGCATTTTTTTTTTTCAATGACAACTAATTCTGAAATTAAATCAATAAATTTTCCAGCTACGGATATGGCGATGGTAATCTCAAAAAGGTTCTTGCGCTCGATGGCCCAGCCTTTCGAGATAGGACAGGATGGGATCAGTTTATGGGGGTTGGAGGATATCCAACGTCGGCAAGCCCAACAACGTCAGGCGGATGCCGGTGCGATGGCCGATGTGAATATGCGGTCCACTCAGGCTGATGGGGATGATGATGATGACGATGAGGATTACTTTGGTGGACTTGAGGACCAGGTAAGATGCTCCTTCCACGCCTGTGTAAGTGTCGTGTTGACTGATTTAATTTTTGCGGGGGATCTTAATTCGATCGAAAGGCTTTGTTGGATATGAGACTCGGTCCCGCTATCACCACCGCCGGATGAACAGCCCATCGTTGCTCCCTATGAATCTGCTCCACTAAACCCTCAATCACCCCTCACAAGAGATGCAACACCATTACCTGTCAGTAGCTATTCGACATCCCTTCGCATCGATCGACTATTCACTGAATTCGACAGCCTCCTCACTTCTCCGTCGATTGGAAATTATTTATGTCTCACAGATATCATTTCTTTCATGAAAACCTTGTCATTGTAATTGGTCTTTCTTTTTTTTTCCGGATGTGGTGATATTAATCCATGTACCAAGTCTAATGCAATCGGTTCGGGGTGAAGGTGTTGGATGTGATGAGTCTGCGTCTATACTCACTGTCTCTCCGGATCATGAGGTATAATGTATGCTTGTAGTTGAAGATTTCAACAGCGGAGTGTTCTCGAGTGAGGTTTTAGGGCTTGATGCTAGAGTGCTTGTGATGATGTATTGTAAATGATTATGAATACACCAAACGTACATGTGCGTTGGTGGTGTGGGCTTGGTTGGGAGTGTATGGTGGTGAATAATGAGCGAGGTGGTTGTTTCTTTGGACGGTGTGAGTATTTTGATTGAACCCTTCAATCTTCATGGGGTCTCTCCTTCTCTTGCTTTAGCTCGGCCACCCCAACAGCACAAGTCCCTTCTTCCCAATCCTCAATCAATCAATCAATCCAAAAAAAATAAACAATCACTCCACTCCATCTCACATCCTCGTATGTAACTCGTCGGAAAGAAACTAGGAAGAAGACACCGACTGATGAACTTACTAATAATATTGTATATTTAGATGAACAAAAGAAAAACCCAGCTCAAGCATTCTCCAGAAGATACCTCAATAGCCATCCACCATCCTACATAGTACATAGCCTATCGGATTATCCCATCCAAACTTGTTTCAGGAACTGTCTCACCCTCCACCCCCCCGCAAGTTAATTTTGAACTGCGGGATACAAAAAGCGGATCATCATCATGGCCAGTCTGACTCGAGGCACTCCTGGTTCTGGTGCAGGTGCTAATCCAAACTACAACTACAACCAAAATAACCAACAACAGCCAGAAGAACAAGAACCAAGACCAGTACCAGAAAATTATAATCAGCCTGCAGCAGTCGAGACCCGCACCTCACCCAACTCATTCTTTGATAGTAACACTCAGAACTCAACAACAGCAGCAACACCACAGACTGAACCACCAACTGAACCAGCACAGCAGAAGAACACTACCAACTCAACCCTCATGAGCGCCCCCCCACCCTCACCAGCCGGATACCCTCCACCCGCTCATTCCAAGCCAATCGAATCATCCAATGACTCCCATCAGAGCGCATCCAACAACACCACCCTGAACAGCAACCAGCTACCCCCCTGGGTCATCGCCATCATCATCGTAATCCCCATCCTGGCCGTCCTACTCTCGGTCTTCTACTGGCGCATGAAAGTACATCGACGGACCCATCTCTACGCCCATCGAATCAGCCAAGTAGACCAGAACACCTCGAGCACCGCTCCAAGACACATCATACCCCCCGGTGGCACCGGCGCCGATCGTCCAGAGGGCCAACGTAGAGCCGATCGGATGAGGAGACTCATGAATGGAATCAATAGAAGACCTAGTCGATCCGATAGCGTCCGCACCGTCCCCCAATAGTCCGTTTACACACCCAGCTCTCTCTTTTCACACTTTTCTCTGACACGAAAAAAAAAAAAAAAAAAACTTACATGAATTAATTTACTCTTTCACAGCTCGGCTGACCCTCAAGATACTGAGATGACTCTCGCCCGTGCTCAGCGTTCAGCCGAAAACAGTCCGCCAGCACAGCCCTCGTTCATCATGCGATTTATCGGGAGCCACAGCACGACGAACCCTCGGACTCACAGCGGCAACAACAACACCGGCGAGCTCTCGTCGACCTCGAACCCGCAACCTCCTCATCCACCCGAACCGCCGCCCGACTATGAGCTCTCCACGCGCATCACCCCCGCCCACTACCCGCCCATGCAATCCTCCTCCAACGCCGTCGGCTCATCATCCACCCGGGGCCTGATGGCGCCCCTACAGCTGCCAGCAGCTCTCGAGTTGCCTTTCGGCAGGAGCAGGGGAGTAGCAGAGCACCCGGCTGAAGATGAGGACCACCCGCAACACCACACCGTCCATCTCGACCGATCCACCACCTCCTCGAGCACCTCCTCATCCGAGACGGTCTCTGCTGCCCACCAAAAATCCACCCGAAGACCCTCCCTCTGTAACCTCATCAACCATCCCACATCCTCTTCTTCCTCTCATCAAGCACTGGCTCCCGAAAACAATCATCCGTCGTCGCCCCATCATCAGCTTCGACTCCCTTCTGGTAGTGTCACCCCTCAACAAATTAGCATTCCGGGAGCGGGATCGGTAACTTCTCTAGACTGGGAC